TTTAGCTATGACAAATTGTGCTGCTATAAACATGGGTGCACATATGTCTCTGTAGTATGATGTTTTTAATTCTTCTGGAAAAATACCCAGAAGGGGAATAACTTGGGTAAGTGGAACTCCTAATCCTAGTTTTGTGAGGAATCTCCACACTGATTTCCACAGTGGTTTCACCAACTGACATTCCCACCAGCAGTGAAAAAGTGTTCCTTTTTCCCCACATCCTCTCCAGCATTTGTCATTGGTTAATTTCTTGATGATAGTGATTCTTTCTGAGGTGAGATGGAATCTCAGTGTTGTTTAAAGTTGCATTTCTCGAATGACTAATGACGTTCAACATTTTTTCATATATTTATTCGCCATTAGTATTTCTTCATCTGACAAGTGCATATTCATCTCAGATGCCCATTTTTGGATTGAATCTTTGAATTTTGGGGGCCTTATATTTTTAAATTCTTTATGTGTTCTAGATAGAAGTCCTTTGAATGAGGGGCAGTTGGCTAAAATTTTTTTCGCAATTCGTGGGTTTTCTTTTTACTGTGTTGGTGATTTCTTTAGATGTGCAAAAACTTTCAGTCAGATGAGATCCCAGTTGTTGATTCTTTGAAGTATTTCCCATGTAGTTTGGTTTTTGTTCATGAGCTCTCTGCCTACCCCAATATCTTTGAGATTTTTCCCTACTTTCTCTTTCAGTAGATTTAGTGTTTCTGATTTCATATTTAGATCTTTGATCCATTTTGACTTTAATTTAATGCATGGTGAAAGACATGGGTCCAGTTTTAGTTTTTGGCATGTGGAAAGCCAGTTTTTCCAGCACTTATTAAAGAGGCTATCTTTCCAGCATTTATTAAAGAGGCTATCTTTCTTCCCATGAACATGTTTGGCCCCTTTATCAAAGATAAGGTGGCTGAGTGTGTTTGTAGCTCTGCCTGCATCTTCTAATCTGTTCCACTCATCTTCAGGTCTGCTTTTTTGTCAGTATATAGGTGTGTCTTTTAAGAGGTGGCTGGACTACAGTGTGTGATTCTGGGATCAAGGGTGTGTGATTACTAAATTAGCCCATAATTGGCTGGCTCCAAGGCAGGATGACATGGCAGAGGGGCATCACAGATGACAAATAGTCCATGGCAGGCAGAAGGCAGCAAGAACAAGAAGCAAGAACAGCAGCCTTCTTCTGTCCCTTACATTCTATCTAGACTACCCACCCACAGCCAGGGTGGGGCACCCTTAATCTTAGCAACCCAGCATGAATCAACCTCAGCATCACATCCTTAGTCCCAGCATCGCACAGCCTAGATCCAACCACCTTGGAAAAGCCCCCACCTTGACCACATGAGGTTTTGGGGGGACATCTAGATACAAGCCATAACAATAACTCTTCCCTTCATTTTGAAGTAGTTTCTGACTCAACAGATAAATGTAAAAAGTAATAAAAACAATTCCCATATGTTTTCACCAATGTCTCCAAAAATTATCATTTTACTGTATTTGTTTTATCATTCTCATGATGTAATTTTGTTTTGTTTTGTTTTCATAAATGTAATTTTAAGTGTCAAAAATCCAGTTATGGAAGAGCACAATCCCATTTTTAGATATACACAACACACACATATATACATATATAAATATATTTAAAAGTATGTATAGCAAACTGTTAACTGTGATCATCTTTGTGGAGATAGGGAAAGATTAAGGCAAACTTTTATTTTTCAAGGTACACAGTTCTGTATTTAAATTTAAAAATCAGATATAGGTATTAGCTTACTAATCAGAAAAAGTTGAAAGTTTAAGTGAATTAGAATGGCAGAAATGAATAACATAAAGGGTCAGTGTTGTTCAAAATCTCAGGCACATTCTTGTTGCCAGACCCAGGGCTTGTCCATTGTCTAGCACTCTCTGTGGAATTTAGAGCCTGTCTCTTCAGTTAAGGGGTCAGTATAATGACTTTCCTGAGCAGGGAAACAGGGAGCTAGTTATGAATTTTCTTTCTCATAGCATATTAGAAATCAGCATAGATTTATTGTTATCCCTTATTAAAAAAATAAAATGCAGACATTAACAATTCCAAAGAGAAAAAAAAAAACCCATAAAACATACTTTTGAAGATCATTAAGTGTAATGAGTCCTTCTTCCATATTTTTGATGTCTATTTGTCTTTGCGCTAGGAAGTTTTCTTTTTGTGTAATAAACTCCAGTTGTCTCTGGTTTCTACCATGAGAAAACAAAATTAGTTGTTGAAAGTTGTTGAAAGCTGAAATAATCATTTTTAGCAAACATGAATAATTTTTAAAATACTGCGGAAATTTTAAACCATGAGTGATTTAACAAATATACTAGTAAAACATAGAAACAGTCTTTTTGCTGGCAGTGGCTAAATACATACAAACTTACACATAGGATTTTCCTAAAATTTATGAAGCCCCAAGCCACTGAAAGAACATTAACCACAATAATAAGTACAGAAGAGCAGCATTACATGTCATCTCTTGGGATGTGCACTTTTCCGATGTGCTTATCAACCCTGGCCTGTTCTGCTGAAAGATGAAGTGACTCATCTTCAAAACTTCCACAGGCAGAGTTGTGCCCCACCTCCAGAATTTATGTACACCCTAACCCCCAGTGGATAGAGAGATTAGGGTAACAAAAAGGCAGAGATGAGGAACACGAGGGTCAATGTTTTAATATAGTTTGAACAATAACAAAGATGGGGCTTTGGAAAGTAACTAGGTGTGGCTGAAGTCATGAAGATGGGCCCTTGTGATGGAATTGATGTGCTTATAACAAGAGGCACCAAAAAACTCTTCCACTATGTGAGGGGAGACAGAGAGAGAGAGAGGGACAGAGAGAGAGCAAGAGAGAGACAGAGACAGAGACAGAGACAGACAGAGAGACAGAGACAACAGAGAGACTCTGCAACTCAGGAAGACATCCTAACCTGAGTTCCTGTCTTAGTTACTTTTCTTGTTGCTGAGACAAAATACTTGACAGCCAAAGTTAAAGGACAAACTGTTTGCTTCAGCTCACAGTTTGTAGAGGTCTTAGTCCATGACTGGCTGGCTCCAAGGCAGGGTGGAATGGCAGAGGAGAACAGTTTATGGTGCACACAAGGTAGCAAAAGCAACAAAGGGACTTTAACAGCATCTTTCTGCCCCTTTTATCTTAAGCAGGCTACTTAGGGAAGGCAGCACTCACACCCTGGACGCTAGTGCCCTTGATCATAGCATTGCACCATGAATCAATCCCAGTGTCACACACTCTAGATTCAACCACCTCTGAAAAAGCTCCATCTATGACAACATGAGACTGTGGGGGGACATCTAGACACAATTTCTGCTGCTTAAGCAGCCAGCCTATACAATTTTATTATGGCAGCCTGACATAAGACCAGAAAACACTTGATGAAGATAGGTATGGTGGCAATGCCTATAATTCCAACACTATGAGAGGCTGACACAGGAGGATTGAAAGCTGGATCCCAGGTTGGGCTACTTAGTGACTTAGTGAAACGCTGTCTTAAAGTAAAAAATAAAAAGAGAGCTGAGAATATAGCCTAAAGTGAAGGCCAAGGGTTCAATTCCAAGTGCTGGAAAAAATTATGGCAACATAATTTTTAGTGTTACAGTTATTCATCATCAACCCACTTTAGGATTCCAATTGATAACTAATTTAGTATTGATTTGGGGAAGGTTTTTGCTTGAAGAATACTAACAGTCTCATTTTCTGAATGCTGTACATATTGTATAAGATGAAACAATTGCCACAATTTTCTGTAGCTTAAATGCCACAATAATGAACATAAAACCAGCACCCATAACTATGGCATGTTGATTGATGAAGGAATTATGGATTGAAACATACTCATCATAGATCTTCCGTTTCTGCAAAAAAACTTGATCTTCCTCAGTTAGCACAATCCTATACTGTTGTAGAATAGTGTTCAATTTCTCGTGTAGCTCTTTGTTCTCTAACTGAGCTTTGTGCAGCTTTTCAGCCAGCTGAAGGAAAAACAAAGAAATCAAGTGAGAGGACTTGCTTCATGATTCCTTGGAAGGCATCAACGTCAGGGGAACATTTCTGTAGAATATTAAGAGTATTGTTTAGCATTAAATGAATATGTTGCAAATGTTGCGTGGTTTAATTCTATCACAAATATGCAATTGTACATCTTGGGGCCTCTTCTACAACAGAAGTATAGAAATATAGTAAACCTGATGTAAAACCATAAAGTAATCCATATTGAATAGGAAATGGCATTAACAAACTTGACAATTCAGCATCATCTGCGTGTCCTTTTCTCAGAATATAAACTATGGTGGGGTAAAAAAAATGCAACATTTGCAAAACCCTTGCTCAAAACCTCTTTGAATAGACAGTATGCTTGCTTCTTCTTAAGTATAGTTGATCGTCTGCATCTTCAGGTTTTGTGTCTGAGGATTTTACTACCTACATATGGAAAATATTTGAGAAAAAATGTTCCAGAAAATTTTAATAAGCAAAACTTGAATTTGCAATGCACTAAGTACTAGGCAGATGGAATGTACTTAAATGAAGTGATGTGTAGGCATTGTATAAGGCATTATAAATTAAATATAATTTAATTTAAAGTTAACTTAGAGCATTGCAAGGTGGCATCTAGGATAAATACAAATACTATGCCATTCATTGTACCTAAGAGACTTGAGCACCCTTGGGTTTTGGTATCTGTAAGGCTTTCTTGGAACCAACCTGCCACAGATACCAGGGATGACCGTGTTTCTATTTGAGGACAAAATAATAGCACCCATTAGTGTTCTGTGTGAGTGAACAATTTTGTGCTTGGATGCCTCCATTGGATTGTTTCTTTTTAAAAAATTTTGTTTGTCTTTTTGAGACAGGGTCTCACTATGCTGTTTAGGCTGGCCTTGAGCTCACTTTGGAACCCAGGCTGGACTTGAACCTGCAATGATCCTCCTGCCTCAGCCTCCCAAGTGCTAGGATTACAGGCATGCACCCAATGCCTGGCTGGATTGTTTCAAATGAGGTAAGAAAGTTAGGTTTAGTAGAAATGGTGAGTAGTTCAAAATAAACTGACCTTAGGACCACTAAAATTGCTGGACACAACCTTCTTCAGAGTGTTGAAGAACTAACAAGATAATGAAGTCTATTGAGGCCTAATTTGAAGCAAAACCAGGAATACAGAGAGAGAAGGGTGGTACTCAAATCCCTCCTGTTTGAGCACATTTACTAGTATGGAAGAAACCCCTCAGGAACTGGGCTTTGGCTGTCTTCTGTGGCAAGGGGGCAAAGGCCAGTGCAGCAAGCTCATCCAGACCTGGAGCTGGAACCTCCTACCAATATAGCCTGGAAGCCCAGAGAATTTTCCAGGGAACATTAAGGCAGAATAAGGTGGTTTGGAACACATAACCCCCACACACCTGAGGGAAGGTAAGTGTAAATTTTGCAAGGGCTATGGATTGAAAGGAGCACCCCCCCATATTTGCCCCTTTGAGCAAGTGAACCATACTGGTTTAGGGGTTCCAGACCATTCAGGTAAGATAACAGCTGAAAAATGTAGAGCTATGGACTGAATATTGTCTAACAGCTCCTACCATAGGGAACAAATGGAAAGACAACAATAATTTGCTCTAAATACAAAAGACAACTTCAAAACCAAATGAGCCAAGAAGCTAACTGTGTCAGGTTTCTGTTATGCATACCAGTAACAGAATCAGAGTAGGCTCAGCCCCAAAGAAAAGCCATCTCTCATGCTAAAAGGTCATTAAACCCCAAATGGAAAGACTTTCATTGGTATCAGTCTCCTAGGAGGGAACTGTCCTAACGTCCCCACTGACCTTCAGGGCCTGGGTGCAGGCTCAGAGGGAGGGAGATGTTACACTCTGTAACAAAGAAGAATTTGAAAGTGAGGTCATCTGCACTGGAGAGCAAGAAGATAGACCAGTAGCTGTGAGGCAAAGAAGATGAAGAAACAACCCACAGTGTGGTAAAAAAATGTTTGCCAGTGGATGCCCCATCTTGCTCCTTTAGGACAGGGAAGCAATGCGGGAGCTGCCCCTTTGCTGTAGAACTCTCTGTTGGCAGGTGAGGCCTGCGCAGATGCCCAGCCCTGCTCTTTGGCACAGGGAAACAATGTGGGAGCTGCCCCATTTCTGTGGACCTCTCCATTGGCAGGGGAGGTGCCCTCCCACAACCAGCCACCTGAGGAACCCAGAGCAGCAACCCCTGAATGGCCACCATTGGGTTCATGGCTGAGGCCCATATGTTTTCCACTGATGGTCTGGAGGCCCTGGTACTGAAGGCCAGCTTTCCACCACCATGGTAGTTGTGGTCTGAGCTGTGTACCCCACCAATGGCCTGGGTTTCCTGGGCCCAGTGGTCCACTGCCTTCTACCACCTTGAGATAAGTCTGATGTCCATGTAAACTAAGGTCTCTAGAGACCTTCAGCAAGTTGCCTGAATAGCATTTGGCTCAGCACTTTCCATATGACATCCAAAAGGACAAGATGAAGGAGCAAAATGCAATCTCAGAACTCAACTCCCCCCAGAACAAGTCTAGGAGACACTGACATAGGAGAAATTGGAAGTCACATACCTGAAATCTCTGAAATGATCAAAATTGAAGTAAAGAAACAACTCCAACAGGCCATAGAAGAAATCAGATAAGAAATAATCGCCCAGGTAAAAAAAGAAATGACATCAATAATGAAAGAACTGCTCAGCACATCTAAAGAAGACACATACAAAAAAATAGATGAGCACAGGAAAACAATGGAAACATTAAATGAACAATATAGGTCAGAACTAGAATGCATGAAACAGATTCAAAGAGATATCCAGGAAATCAAAACTTCCATTGGAAACTGGCAAAACCACTTGAATGAGGCTGAAGATAGAATCTCAGATATTGAAGACAGTATGGCAGCTAATGATCATGAAAGGAAGGATCTCTTAAAATCAACAAGGATCCAGGTAAAATCAATCCAACAGTGGCAAGATGAGGCAAAGAGAAATAATGTAAGACTAATAGGAGTCAATGAAACAGCAGGAGGCAACACAAACGACATAAAAAGAATATTTGCAGAAATAATAGCAGAAAACTTCCCAAGCATGGAGATTCTGAAGTACAGTAAATGAGGCATACAGAACCCCAACTAGCCACAACCAAAATAAAACCACACCAGACATATAATAATCAACATCCTAGATATCCAGCAAAAGAACAGAATATTAAAAGCTGCTAGAGAAAAGAAACAGATTATCTATAAAGAAAACCTCATTAGAATCACAGTAGACTTCTCAACACAAACCATCCAATTGAGAAGAGCCTGGAGTGAAGTATTACAGGTCCTGAGATGAAACAATTTCCAACCAAGACTGATGCACCCTGCCAAACTGTCCTTCAGATTCAATGGAGAAATAAAATATTTCCATGACAAAGAACAACTGAAGAACTTCATGAGTGTCAAACCATCATTGCAAAGAGTACTAAAAGATGTTCTAGACAGAGGAAAAACATGACCACAATTTCAGGAATGGAAAGGAACCCTTAAGCAGAACAAGCAAGTAAACAAGTAGAAAAAGTAGGAAACCAACAGCAAGTAAATAACATGACAATCATAAGTCAACACATCTCAGTTATAACCATTAATGTAAATGGCCTCAATTTGCCAGTCAAAAGAAACAGACAGGCAGAGTAGATTAAGAAACAAAATCCAACGATATGGTGTATACAGGAAACACATTTTACTCAAAAGGAAATCCATAGACTGAAAGTCAAAGGATGGAAAACAATCCTCCATGCAACAGGAACCC